GTGGTTAGTTGCTGTGAGCACTCACATTTGCCTGACATGTGCCAAAGTCCCGGAGCAACGGTACTAAAAGGTGCGCATGAGGGTGACACAGAAAGGGTCTGAAGTGGCGCCAAGTCGCACGAACAAAAGATGCTGTGTCTGAGCTCATCAGAACCTTCCCTCGCTTCAGCGGCCGTTGCCTCAGGCTCGGGCATGATCGACTCTGCCATTTCAGTCACTTCTGAGCCACTTCTCTGCGATGCAGCTCGGCGGCACTGAGCCGGGAGCGCCTTCGCCGCGCAAGTGCCTGTGGCGCAGCAGCCGCTGGCACAGTCACCTCAGCTGCTTAGCTTCGGGCCGCTGCTCTGGAGATGGCCAACGCTCCTGGACCTGCCGAGTCGCCATTGGCGGAACAAGCGTCTCCAATCTTCAGCACTGCATCGCCACAAAGGCTGGGATTGCCACCAGGTGTGCACTTGTATCTTCCATCATCACTCCACTGTTTACTGCAACAACCGTTGGCGCAGTCGCTGTTTTGAGTGCAGAAGACCCAGTCTGCAAGCCGGTTGCCCGTGCACTGGCTGCCTCCGGGCGTGCACTTGTACTTCTTGTCGTCACTCCACTCGTTGCTGCAGCAGCCGCACTCACACTCCCCGTTCACAACACAGAAGTACCAGTCGGCCTTGAGCCTCGGCGAAGTACTCTCCAGCTCAGGCCAGGAGAAGACTGACACGGTCTTCTGAGCAGCATCACTTTGCAAGGAGAAGCCCTGCCAGAAGTCACCCTCCGCCCAAAACTCGAAGTCCTTGTTGTTTTCCGGATGCATAAGCTCCCAGGGCATGAAGGGAACACCCAGCTCGTTTGCCACTTGCAGGATGGGAATCATTTGCCTGGCCTTTTCAGCGTCTGTGCCGTTGATGCCGAACTCCTGCAGTCTCACTCTCTTGCCTTGGCTCACCGCCCAGGTGGCTGCGATCTGAGAAATCTTCTTGATGTCGCAAGCACTGGTGCTGTAAGTGTGGATGTCCACGACCTCAGAGCTTGTGAGAGCACTGAAAGCAGCTGCCAGACTCAACGCTGACTTTTTTGCAGAAAGGCCGCATCGATGTCTGGGCAAACATACAGCTGCTGATACAATGCATCTTCAAGGTCGACAGACCCTCCTGTAGAAACCGCGATGCTGGGATGCATGTGGGCCTGGCTGGCAGCACGCTATAAGAGGCAATCTGGACAATCTCATGCTATAACCGTAATATGCCTTCATAACTTGCGCCCGACGGCACCACCAGCCCTTGTCCACCGACCTCGGATCGATAGCCAAGAAGCCCTGCGGCAGCAAGTGACTTACATCTTCGCTGATACAAAAATGTATGCTGCATGCACGCCAAGCTGCCAGATGTGGCCCTGAGCTTCGTTCTGAGGCGCAAAAGAAGCAACGACCTGTCCCGGGTTTAGGGCTTGGGGGAGACACAAGCAGCAAGGGCAACAGGCCTCATGCAGGTTGCCCCAGCTCTTCTTGAAGTGAGGGTTCCTGGTGGTAAGCCGAGTTGGGCCCGGGGTGCTTGTGAATCTGCTAAACATGGAGAAAGCGCCCAGCACAAGACAAGACCGGCAAGGTGCTTCCAAGCTTCCAGTGCTGTAGGATGTGCACGAGGCGCTCATCAAACTTCGCCTTGAGACGGTAACTAAGCACATTTACATATAGACGATTGGTGTGATGTCCCTGCCAACCGACTTGTGCGCCGGCCGCATGGCAAAGACTTCATCCAGCAAGCGAAGGGAGGATGCACTTGTGGCATGATTGGTAATAACTATTCCCGGAATTCCCCGACTCTTGGTGCTGGCAGTGCGACCTGGATTTCTGGATCGGTGTAGAAGCGGTCCGCTTGGTTCTTTGCAAAGACGCACTTGCAGCAGCCGCTGGGCAAGCTGTACTTGGATACCTGAGATGTGTGGATGGGGTAGGCCCCTGCATGATGCGGTCTGCTGCTTTGGTCAGACCTCTGCAAAGCCTCCGTTTGAGCTGAAAGCATCTGAGATCAAACGGAACTTCTTAAACGGCCGAGCATCGTAGGCATCTTCCCTCCAACAGCCCAGGGAATAGCGATCGTGAAGGGCAATGTCAAGCCTCGCTGCATTCTGTGGAACTCACTGGATCACAAAAATACTGCAAAGGCATCAAACATCATCAAACTGTACACAGTAGCACCGAGCAGCTTGATTCCGCGCTCGTGCGCCTTGGGCAGAGTCCGCTAATCGATAACTCTTCTCGCGTGTGAAAGCCTAAAGCTGCAAACGCAACCGCTTCACCACGTCCCGGAAGCGAAGCTGAAGGACAGTGAAGCAGGACCTCCTAAACCGTCCTGAAACCCAAAGCCAAACCTTAGCTTCACCCCCCAAGCCCCTATTATAAAACCGCCCTAAACCCCAAACTCTAAACCCCTAAACCCCCAAAGCCGAAACCCCTAAACCCCCCCTAAAGCACTAACCCCTAAACCCCTAAACCCCCTAAAGCCTAGAAAGCCTTTCTTAGGAGGGGGCCCCTTCGAAGGGCGCCGGCCAGGCCTCGAGCATCAGGTCGTCCACGAGGGTCAAGATGCGATCGTCGTAGATGCCAACCTCCCGAGTCTCCAGGTCCTCCACCGCCTGATGTATGGATACACATATGTATGTATATACATATATATATATGCATACATACATGTAGATGTGTATACATATATATATATATGTCTGTGTGTGTGTACGCATTTATGTATATGTATGTATATATATATATATGCATGTGTATGTGTATGTGTATGTGTATGTGTATGTGTATGTGTATGTGTATGTGTATGTGTATATATATATATAACGTGCTCTATATCATACTATATTGTACTATACTGTATTAGATATACAATATGTAGTATCTAGTAGATAGTAGATAACACATATCATAATTTATATAGTATGTACTCTAAAGGTTATATTATACCATGTCGTATTGTACTACAGCATTATATTACATCTTTTTAACACTGTATGTATACTATATATTTACTATGTTATATTATACTATATTTTATCATATTATACTATATTATATTATGTTTTGTTATGTTATATTATGTTATATTATAGTATGTTATATTAGATTAGATTAGATTATATATATATATATTGTATCATATTATATTGTACTATATTCTATTATATTAGATTATAATATTCTATTCTATTCTATTCTATTATATTATATTATATTATATTATATTATACATATAATATTATATTTTATTATATTGTATTATATTGTATTATATTGCATTATATTATACTACATTCTATTGTATTATATTGTGTTATATTATACTATATTATGGCATGTTATACAATATTATATTATGTTATATTACATTTTATATATTTGTGTTATATTATATTTTCTGTATTGTCTTATACTACACTATGCTATACTATACTACACTATATTATATGATAATTTTAGTATATGTTTGGAGGACGATGGACGAAGCGTAGCTGGGTTCTTTTGAGCTTTACGACTTGAATGTCTTTGAGAGTCGAGCAACGTGGAGGATGCGTGCATAGACCGAAGATTTGCGCACTGAGAGCGCCAGATTCGGGCATTGGCGGTTCGTGTGCTGATTTCAATCGCGGATTTGCGGGCCGAAACGGTGTGGATTCGCACACGGAGGAATAAGGAGAAGAGGGATAGCCATTTGAGAGCAATGAACCCTGAAAAGAGATGTAGGGTAGGCAATCAAAATGACAGGACATGATGATTGAAAGCCCTAAACCCCAATGGGGGATGGAAGGTATGTCAGGTCAACAACATGACCTCAAACCCCGAGCCCTGGAACGACGGATGCGAAAGTTACACCCTCAAAGTAGGTGAGTGGTACAAGTAGAACGGGAGTTGGAGAGTAGAGCAGGGAAGAAGGACCCTAATCCGAAACGATAAATGGGATGGCTCGTGCTAAAAACCTAAAACCCACCAAGTAGATAAGCGGTAGAAGCTTGAAAATCAGTTGAGAGATGGGGGCCTGGAGATGGCTGTGCTGTATGGCATGGTGGTTTATGGTGGTTTGATTGCACATTGATGCTTGAATCGCCGGCGCTCGAATCGTCCCCACGCCAGAGTTTCCAGTGCTTGAATCGGCCGTGCACACAGGTGGCTACCTTGAATCTCAGGTGATGAGATCTTGCGCGTGCAATGTGCCTGGGAGCCACTGTTCTTGTAATCTGCGGTGTTGGAGACAAGGAAGATTCGCAGCACTCGAAGCCCAGAGTCCCTGAGGCAACAGAACGGGCGGCTGATGCGGCTCACAGCTGTGCCGATACCATCCGATACCGCTGGCCTCATGTGGTCCAAGTAGGCCGTGCGGTTTCCTGGGCCTGGGACCATTCAGAGCCCCAAGGAATGACGCCGAACCCACACAACCCAGCCTGTGCTGGGCAGTGCATGGGCAAAGAAGGAGTTCACTCCTGCCCAGTTGGCACCGACATCCGCACCTCTCAGGAGTCTCGGAGTCACTGTTTTGCATTGTCCCACTCACTGGAATGGCTCGGCTTGCCTATAGGCGGCAACGATGGGGCAAGCAGAACCTTCCCAGTCAGGCCTCTGCCGGTCAGAAGAAGGCAGCCGAGAAAGCCCAGCACGATGCAGTGTAGGCGAAGGCTTGCCATATCCCTACAGTGCTAGGATCACCAGCTCACTGGCAGCTACACACAGCCAAAAGCTTCAAAAACATGCCACCTGTCCTCCCATGTCCATGCGATGCTAGGGCAGTTGCAGGCATGACTCCAAGGACGCCCGAGTGCTTTCTGCTCACTCCGCTGCATCGCGAAGGTCACGCATGGCACACGCCCGCAGTTGCACGGAATTTAAAACGGGAGCTGGATCTTTGCAGCTCAAGTCACGCACAACTGCTTGCCGGCCAGCAGGGAGGAGCCACCATCGACTTCAAAGGTCAACGGTCAACGGAAATGGTTGTCTTTCCGCCTGAAGGAATTCATCAACATTCGTTGCTTGCACTTCGCCACGCGGCTGGCATGGACTTCCCTTGCCCTGGCCACGCGGATGAATCATCTACGAAGCTAGGCTGCCTGCCCAACTGGAGTAGTAGCATCGGATCTTCCAGTTGCAGCTGATAGGCATCAGGCTGAGGATGCCGAAGGCGAGGGCGGTGGCCCCGACGGAGCCGGCGGCGCAGGTGGCGGCGGAGGCGGCGCCTCCAGTTGGGCCGTGCGCGGAGTCTGTCGCATTGAAACGGGGGAGCGTGAGCCACACAGCTTCCACTGGAGCAGCAGCCACTGCGGCAGTTGCCTTCTTCCGTGGGCAGAAGGATGCCAACGCACAGGGAACAAAGGCAAGAAGAACCGCATCCCCTAAGACACTCAAGTTGCCAAGCTGCCGTTTTCGAAGCACGGCTGTCCATTCCGCGCAAGTGCCTCGCCACAGAGCCTTGGTGTACCACCTGGTGTGCACTTGTACCGGAAGTCATCGCTGTACTCCGAGCTGCAGCAACTGCAGGCGCACTCGCTGCTCTGAGTGCACCAGACCCAGTCTGCAAGAAGGTGGCCGGTGCACTGGCTGCCTCCAGGCGTACACTTGTATTTCCTGTCGCTGCTGAACTCGTTGCTGCAGCAGCCGGAAGTGCACTCTGAGTTCACCACGCAGAGCCGCCAGTCAGCCTTGAGCTGCATGCTGCTGTTTGAGAGGTTCAGCTCTGGCCACAAAAACACCGTGACGTTGTCCTGCGCCATTTGGCTCTGCGCCGAAAGCCCACGCCACAACTCCCCGTCTGTCCAGAATTCGTAGTCCGTGGTGCTCTCTGGATGCACTAGCTGCCAGGGCATGAAAGGAATACCGATCTCGCTCGCGGCATAGATGAGAGGGAATATGGTCTTGGCCTTGCTTTCATCGTTCCCCTGCGAACCGAACTCCTGAAGCCGCACCCGCTTGTTTTGCGTCAAAGCCCAAGTGACGGAGACTTGTGCCACGTCTCTAAGCCACAGATCATCGTCGGTGTAGGTATGGATGTCGACGACCTCAGCTTCACCAGCCAGTTGACACTGCCAATACAGCTTATGGCACGGGTATCATGTTTATCAACATGCTGCTCGCGCCCTCGGCCGGGTCGCATCGATCTCCGGACACATGTAGAGCTGCTGATACAAAGCATCCAGAAGCCCGATTGAGCCCCCTGTGGAGATCGGTATGTCTGGATGCATGTGCTCCTCGTCCAAAACACGGTCAAGCAAGCGAGACTAGCTGAACTAACTTTAAGACTATGACCACGAAACGGAAGGTGCTAGTGATGAGATAATGATGATAGTGATGATAATGGTGATGGTGGTGATGATTGTGATGATGCTGAATGCGATGATTATGATGATGATGATGATGATCATGACGATGATGATGGTGACAATGATGATGATGATGGTGATGATGATGATGGTGATGATGATGATGATGATGATGGTGACGACGATGAAGGTGAAGCGAATGATGCTGCTGAAGCTGCTGATGATGCTGATGTTGCTGAAGATGCTGATGATGCTGATGATGATGATCATGATGGTGATGATGGTGATGATGGTGATGGTTGTGATGGTGGTGATGGTGGTGATGATCGTAATGATCGTGATGATCTTGATGATGGTGCCGATGGTGAAGACGATCGTGATGATGATGATGATGTTGCCGATGACGATGATGATGATGATGAGGGTAATAATGATGATGATGATGGTGGGATGGCGGTGATGAACGTAATGATGGTGACGATGGTGAAGACGATAATGGTGATGATGATGTTGTTGATGATGGTGATGATGATGATGATGATGATGCTGATGCTGATGCTGGTGATGGTGATGATGACGATGATGATGATGGTGATGATGATGATGAGGAGGAGGAGGAGGAGGAGGAGGGTCGAGCGCTCATGCGGGCAGTTCTGGCGTCAATTATTTCCTTGATGCCATGCTCGGGCAACCTGCCTGGATTCTCTCAACTGACACGTTATGTGCGGCGGCTTCAGCTGCTGATCAAGAGTGTGAACGCTAGTACCTCTGTCTCCCCTTGCCACATAAATGGGGAACTTGAGGCTAGACAGCAGCTTGATATCCTGGCTGGAAGGAGGAGGAGGAGATGGCGGCGGAGGAGAAGGGCGACGACAACCATGATGAAGTGCAGGAGGATGGCTACGACGCGAAAACGACAACGAGTATTACTGCGACTGCTTTGCCGACGACGACGACGACGACGACGACGACTCTTGCGGCTGCTGCTGCTAGCACTGGTGTTGGTATCACCAGCCGTCTGCTGCCGAATTGTCGGACTGGAACCACTCTGGGACCAAACCCCTTTTGAACACGACACTTCGAGCCTTCATGACCTGCGCTCGGCGGCACCACCAACCTTTGTCCACGAGCCTGGCCCAGGGCCGGCAAACCCATCACGACTGTTACGAAGGCAGAGGATACTACCGCTACGAGTTGCTGCTTCTGCTAGCAGCAATAGGCCAACAGGCATGTTCCGAACCACGAATAGCGAGGCGCTGCATGTCAGGAAGACTGCACTAGAAGTACTAGCAGTTGAGCCATCAAAGCAATACTGCACGAAATCCGGCCGGATGGCAGCTCGAACTGTGAGCACAAAATGTCATGCCGACACAGTCGATTATGCGATGCTTAGAGTTGAGCTAAGTTTGACAAACAGTACAGTGCCTGCTGAACTCCTCGCCCTAGACAGACTCCATATCATGAGCCCAGAAATGTCCCGAAACCAGCGACATCACAAGCCGACACGTCCTGCTGAGGGCGTGGCCAGTCGTGGCCTTGAGCTTCGTTCTCAGGGGCGAAAGACGCGACAACCTCCAAGCGAGCTTCAGCGTAGCATCAGCATCCAAGGTTGCGTCCTTTCTCCACTCTCACGGAAGAATGGCGAGTGCAAGGAGGAGGCCACATGAGCTTCGTCTGGGCTCGACGTAGAACGTCTGCCGAGTCCGAATGAATGAGGCTCCCGGTGTTCACATGGCTTTGGGTCTCCCAGCTCAAGCTCTGAATTGCTCTCTGATGAAATGGGAGCGAGCCTCATGCAGCTGACCCCAGGGGGCATTGAAGTGCGGGTTCCTTGGTCACAGACATTCGCACTTGATTCTTTTGTTTGGGCGTTCCGGTGCTGTTCTGACGGCTCCAGAAATGCTCTCCGGTTATGGGGAAAGCATGAGAAGTAGGGCGGCTGAGAGTCACGGTGTAAGGTTCAGGCGTCTAGGGATGGGGCGGTGCAGGGTGGACTCAGAAAAGTCAAACAGGGCGTCGTGCCAGAATTGTTGAGGCTGCATGTCAATTTGTATTTCATACCTCGTCAGAAGACCAACCTGCTCAACTCTACATACACTATGCGACCGGATGGCTAACCCCCCCTGCTGTACAGCCTACTCAAGTCAGTTTCTCTACCATTTCGTTTAGTGTTGTCATGCTGCTAAGAGAGGCTGTCAGAAACTGCTCAACCCCAAACCCTGAACCTTAAATCTCGACTGAAAGACTGCTTCGGAAGGGCAGCTGCAGCATCACACTGAACAAGGGGCCTGTGCTGCAAGATGTGCCGCAAGCGTTTGTCGAAGGCCACCTTCTCAGGAATGTCCGAATGTCCCTACTAAGCTAGATTAAAAGTAGCATCTTGTGATGCAGCACTTTCGTCCGAGTTGACGGTATGATGTATAGTATTGGACAAAGACGTGCAAGATAGACTGGAAGGCATGTAAAAAGATCGAGTCGCCTGAATTTGAGGCTCCGAGTAGAATCGATCCACTTGGTTCTTGCTCACGGTGCAGTTGCAGCAGCCACTCGGCAGGTCATATGTTGTGACCTGAGATCACCACGAAACCGCTTCCTGGGCACTCCATAGCACAGCTTTTGCTGCTAACCCTACCAGTACCAAGAAACATAGGCATCCGTCCGCCAACAGCCCAGCGAGTAGCGATCGTGCAGGGCGATGTCCAGCCTCGATTGCATGATGTAACATAATTCAATATACTATAACACGCTATAATCGAGTATATTGTTATATACTAGACTCACTAGACTACAAGATTATCGAATCTAACATGATAATAGTTTCTTATAATGGCATCACACCAACAAACAGTAGAAGGGCAGAGGGGCCGCAGTAAGGACCAAGTGGCTTGATACCACGCTCGTAGGCCTGGCACCACAGCCACGTAACAAAAATAATAGTAAGACTAGATATTCCAATAATCATGGTAGTAGTAGTAGTAGTAGTAGTAGTAGTAGTAGTCACAATAATGAATAATGGTAAGACTAGGAATAATCATAGTAGTAATAGTAATACTACTAATAATAATAATAATAGTAATAATCTCGCCGTGCTCGGATTCTTTCCGGCAGTGCCTCGAGCATCAAGTCGTCCACCATGGAGAGGATGCGGTCGTCGTACGTCCCCACCTTCTTCGTCTCGATGTCATCCACGGCCTGCCGTGGCCAGCTCACAGGCTTAAGATGCGGTTGGCTATAAGTATGCGCCTGCCTGTGAGCCACTGTTTTTGTAGTCCGCCTCCGTCTGGCTGATAAAGATGCGAAGAACACGAAGCCCGGCGTCCCTGGACAGTATGCAGTGACGCGCAGTTTGAAGCAGAACATGTTGAGGTTCCCTGCCTGATTTTGTCAAGGTAGGCTGTGCGGCTGTAAGGACCTGCGTGCTTTCTACTGGCAGACACTCCGACGTCGGCAGTCGAGGATGCCTGAACTTGGCAGCGCATGTGCGAAGAAGGAGTTCACGCCGGCCCAATTGGGCCCGAGGTCAGTACCTGGAGCTGGTGGACTGGTGAGCTTTGGCTTCAGAGTCCTCACGTGGGCGGGCCGGGCCTTGCGCAGCTCTCACCACCACGGCCAGAAGAACGTACGTCCGGCCCCACATGGCTTGCCACATCGCTTGAACATGGGAGGGAGTGGGGCTTCTTTCCTCCGGCCGGTCCGCTGCGAAGGGCCTCTCAACTGACCCTTCCCCAGTGCACTGGGCAACTCTGCTCAACCTTTCATGGCGATGTCTAAGTCTTTGCATGACGTTATACAGCCCGTAAAAGCAGCAGCTAACTGAGGGGCAGGCCTTTTCTCAGCAAAAGACTGTAGCAGCTGCTTGAGGCACCGGCCATGTCAGCTGCAGCGCGGGAACGGGAGGCAGCGCCCTGCAACACCGGGCTGGCAGGCCCACAAAAAAGTGCGGAACGCAGATTGGCGTGGAAGGGGCCCATACGGTCCTGCTGCGGGCCCTTGCCTCGAAAGCCTGGAGGCCGGCTCGCAGCAGCTGCAAATTTTCGTTGCGTTCCTGGCTTTTGGCTCGAGCCCTTGACGATGCGAGGTGTCCAAAACCGGACGGGAAACCTTCCGCTGGAAGTGGGACTGCAGCAGCCGGCGACTCCTCTGTGCCTGAGCCTGGACCAGTACGGAGACTTGCTCGGCTCTGACTGCTCATCTACTTGGGTCAAGCAGGCGGACTCGCTAGAATCCCGATCATCCTCATGCTTGCCAGGAATGGCACGCAGCAAAACTCGCACCTCCATTTGCATCTCTAGCTGGTGCTCCTTCAGCACCTCCTGTCGGTCACATGAGCTCTTCCAGATGGCCCCACCAGGTTTAGGGTTTAGGGTTTAGGGGGCCTTCCAGGATCCTGACACCAGGAGACCCTCCCACCTCGAGCCTCGAGGAGGTCCCCGAGCGGCCGCCGAACGTTGTCCACGAGCACGCGCTGGAAGGGAGGGAAGCGTCCAAAAGAAAAAAAGAAAAGCCCCCCCATGCCCACCCTTTACCAAAAGCACAGCTTCCGAAAGCGCCCCAGTGCACAAGATTGCACAAGCCAATCTGAAAGAAGGCTCGGTGTTCAAACGAAAACCGCAGAAGCGCCTTCCAAGGCGACTCGGTCCGGATCTTAGGCACAAGGACGCAGCAACGCAGAATTACTTTCGCTGAGGAGTCGAGGCCCTTTCTTGCTTGGGTCGGCACGCGATGCACTCGTCGGCCACCCAGGAACCCTCATCATTTTGGGTTTAGGGTTTAGGGCTCGTCAGCACCAAGCTCAGGCACAAAGCTTGGCTGCGCTCGGTCTCTGGCAGATGCCGGAAGTCTCCATGCTGACGGAACTGGCTAAATGGGGATACTCCTGGCAGGAAACTGATGGCACATCAACAACTTTTGACATACTTTTGACAAACTCGGAGCTTTGCCCTTCCTGGAGAAGCTCGGCCATGATGTGGTCGAGGTCATGCTCCCTCTGATCCCTTGCAGGCCGGGAAGCGGCTCAAGGTTTAGCGAGGAAAGGTTAGGCCTTTGCTTGGAGCTTGCAGTGACAAGTTCCAGTCTGTGGGGGACTGCTACCGTAGAGTACCGGGTCGGCCTGCTCGATGCAGGTGCTTCCCTACGCCCAAAGGCAGAAAGACGACTGCACCTTGTTCATCCTGTTCCTCCACAACTTGCACCTTACGACGGTGCCGTCAAGAAGTCTGCCTTCGAAGCTCCGTCCGTGTCAGTGACGTGGTGCCGGAGAAAAGCGAAGTCACCTTGGCTCGAAGAAGCGAGGCATCCATCGAGGGGTACGGAACATGGTGAGTGAGGAACGGCAGGTAGGTGCTTGCCCAGCACGGGCCAGATCCACGAGCAACCCTTAAGCTCTCTAAATACATGTGTGGGTGTGTACACTGTTTACAGCGCACAAAGTCTGTGAGTGAAAGGAGGTTCGCATACAGAAATACATACATACACGTGTATAGATATAACGAGAGACGGAGAGTAAGAGAGAAGAGCGAGAGCGAGAGCGAGAAGTAGGGGTCGAGGGAGGGAGGGAGGGAGGGAG